ACGAGGGGGTGTAGTAGGCAGGAGGTCCGAGGGGTGTAGTAGGCAGGAGGTACGAGGGGGTGTAGTGGGCAGGAGGTACGAGGGGGTGTAGTAGGCAGGAGGTACGAGGGGGTGTAGTAGGCAGGAGGTACGAGGGGGTGTAGTGGGCAGGAGGTACGAGGGGTGTAGTAGGCAGGAGGTACGAGGGGGTGTAGTAGGCAGGAGGTACGAGGGGGTGTATTGGGCAGGAGGTACGAGGGGGTGTAGTAGGCAGGAGGTATGAGGGGGTGTAGTAGGCAGGAGGTATGAGGGGTTGTAGTAGGCAGGAGGTATGAGGGGGTGTAGTAGGCAGGAGGTACGAGGTTGAAGTAAATCAGAATATTGTTATAATCCATTATTTATTAAGGGTTATAAAAAAAAAAAACCATCCAACTATTAGTGAGTTTTACGTTTTCTTTCTTGGGAAATCATACGACTTGGGGACATGATCAAAAACAGGTTGAATTCCACCGCATGAGAAGGTCCCTGTCATTAAGAAAGATAGCATTAGGTCAGTAAGCTTGTGTTATATATAATACGAATAAGGTAGAATCCAGAAGAAGAAATCTTCAAAAGAGGAACTGCAAAAAAAGAGGAGCTATAGAAGAAGGGCTACAACAGAAGAACTACAGACGACGGACTGCAACAGAACATTACGGGAGAAGAACTCTTCCGAAGAAGAACTATAGCAGAAGAACTACAGAAGAAGAACTACAGTAGAAGACGAACTCTGCAGATGACGAACTTTGTAGAAGAGGAACTCTACAGAAGACGAACTCTGCAGACGAAGAACTCTGCAGAAGATGAACTCTGCAGATGACGAACTCTGCAGACGAAGAACTCTGCAGAAGATGAACTCTGCAGATGACGAACTCTGCAGACGAAGAACTCTGCAGAAGATGAACTCTGCAGAAAACGAATTCTGCAGACGAAGAACTCTGCAGACGAAGAACTCTGCAGAAGACGAACTCTACAGAAGACGAACTCGGCAGAAGATGAACTCTGCAGAACACGAAATCTACAGACGAAGAACTCTGCAGAAGAAGAACCACAAAAGAAAAACTACAGAAGAAGAACTACGGAAGGAGAACCACAGAAGAATAACTCAACAGAAGACAGAAGAATAACTCTATAGAAGAAGATATAGATAGATTTTTTGACCGAAGCGGACATCATCTGTCAATTTCCTTTTTATGTAGATTTTTAGAACAATAATTATTACCATACACTTTCCCTATTGTCATAGTACGTAAGAAAGACATATTGTGGTTGCCATAGATTTCTCTAGAATCTCTCTATCGGCAAAGCTTGGAATACAGATGGAATGGATAGACCAGCGTGCTACAGTATTATTTTATCAGTGCGGCTTAGACCTAAGGAATTTTTACTAGACGTTCTTTCATCTCCAGAGATCTTACCGCCGGATTCTGGCAGTTAGCTGCTCAAACATGTCGCGGTAATGACGTCAAAACACGGTCATTTTTAGAATGAGATCGATTTTCAACTTGGAGCTGAAATGACCCGATAACTAAAAATAACCCAAGATTTATATCGTATCGTATCGTCTAGATTCCACCAAACTTACTCCAGATCAATATTGCGCAATCGTCAGATTTAATGTCCGGCTATTTTGAGACTTCTATGGCTTGATATAAGACTCTTCACAATCAAATGTCAAAGTGAAAAATCATAACTTAATCTTTTAGAATGTCAACAATGTATGAAAATGTCTGAAAATGAAGAAGAAACAAGGAAACTGGGAGTAAACGAACTGGAGAGATACAAGACTCTCTTGTAAACACTAGATACCAAAATAACTCGGAGTGTTACTATAAATAGATTCTATCTATCTTGGCAGAGGAATGTGTCCAAAAATAACTCGATAGACCGATGATAAAATGGCTTCATGTTGCTTAATTCTAGCCCTTATTGCATCTCTCGGCTTTAATTACGGCTTCTGGCTGTCTTTTCTGTATAAGTGCAAGTTATTAGCCCAATTTTTAAATAATTTCTATTACTATGTAGTGAAACATTGCCACGGGGCTCCTTGCAAAGTTGGTTGGTTGGTTGCAATTTGCAACATAAAAATGGCGATAACAGAAGCAAACCGTTTGACGTATGGATTCGAAAACGGAAATGTAAACAACCATGACATCTATTACAAGACAAACAAACATAAATAAAGAAACCATATATAGTTTGAGTTATAAATTGATAGTAGACGAACCAATGCATGTGCGAAATTGAGAGAGCACAGAAAACGCAAACAACACGTGCATGAAAATAGTTATTGCATAAATGAATAAGAATTACTTACTTGAATTCCTTAAGAGATTAATATTTAAGTTAAGTTCCTATGATGGAATTTATTTCACTTTACAACCGAACTACTAACATTGGCACCAACGATTTCATTAGCAACACCTACGCAATCGTTGTCCCTGGCAACCAGATGAACTGTCGTGAGGCACCGATTGACGTCATCACCTGCTTTCCATGTCATAAGGTTGACAATAGTATTATTATACTAGAAGAGTAACTGTGGTTTATAAAACTGCCAGGTAGAAGTAGAGTTGATGTATTGAGAGAGAAAGAGAGAGAGAAAGAGAGAGGTGTAGACTGTCTAGGCCTATAAAGATCTATATAGACTCAGTCACTAGTTATATTGTATGTGAGTCATACAGGCCCATCCTTCTACTTTATATCTAATAATTAAAGTTGAAAATCAGAGTCCGGTCCGTGGTTTTAGATACAATAGGACAGACCGTGTAAACATTGTCCGGATACCAAACTGCATAACATTACAGAATAGTAGAATGATAAACAAGGTATATATACCGGTCTGAGGTCGGACGGAGACAGTTGCTGAACTAGATGGGTGGGTGCCCGTGGACTTAAGAAGGTTGAAGCCCCTCCACCGGGAAATTCTTCTTTTTAACATATTATGTTCTCCAGCATTCTGAGAGTCAATTTAATGCCTGTTAATATTTTTCTGAGTGTGGGGGTCCTTATGGTCGGGGGCTCAACAGTCTCTAGGGAGCATCTGTTTATTGTCCATCTCAACTACTTTGGGGGACTTTCATATCAAGCAGATTAAACTCTGTGTTGGGGAGGGTGCATTTTTCTCACAATTTTCACTCGAAAATGTCCAAAATCAATTCTAACTATCCCACTTACTCTACGTATATAGTTCAATTGATTTTGTCTGTATTTAAAGACCGAGCGCCTATAATCAGCTATTAATAGATTCCGCCAACCTAATGAATGAGTAATGAATGATACAGTTCTGGGTCACAAGTTCCTGAAAACTTGGCACCGAAATTCACCTGGCAACTGAGAATCTATAGACTTTAACTGTTTTCCCTTCGAATGATTTGTTATCCCTGTTGAATGATTTGTTATCCCTGTTGAATGAATTGTTATCCGTTCTAAATAAATCAGAATCCGTTTTAAATGAATTTCATCCGTTCCAAATGAATTGTTATCCGCTCTAAATTAATTGTTATCTATTCTGAATAAATTGTTATACCTTTTGAATGAATTGTTATCCGTTCTGGGTGAATAGTTATCCGTTCTGGATGAATTGTTATCCCTTTTAATGAATTGTTATCTGATTTGAGTTTTCCAATGCCATAAACAAAATTCCCTCATTGCACACTGCGCCTCTTCCTGGCCTCGATAATGAGGTATCGTATAAAAAAGTAAAAATGCGATATATCTAGTCGTCTTATCCATACCATTTCCATATCAATTATCAATTTAGGTTCACGTATGATTATATACATGATAACATTTTGCGATTTTCTTCTTTGCTATTAATTCATTTACTAATAGCGGCACCAGCTTCTCGAGATTGAGGGTACATATAGAGGGCACATATAGAGGGCACACTGACCCAATGGGGGTGAGGGAGGGGACAACTATCAAGGCTGAAATTCAAAATGTGACAACTTTGTCTTAGGTCTGTCATGGAGCTTCTCGAAGGGTTTTCCCAAGAAAATTATCGATAATTGAATTGATAGGGTGCATTCCGACACATATTTTTCAGGCAATAACGGGGAAAACAAACTGGGATGCAACCTATTTTTCTAGCCCCGTCAACCTAGCTGCACCTCTCTGGCGCCGCTAACTAACACTGTGCCAGTGCCTTCTGTTGAATAATGACTAGTTGCTTGTTAATATTTACTGGTTATTTTTCAACCACCCTAATCTCTAACAGAGGATATATAACCTCGGTAGCCAATCCTTCACGTCTTCCTATATTATCAATCAGTGATGAGGAAATTTAATCAAGTGATGAGTAATTAACAGTAATTAGTGTTTATTAATTAAGGATATAAGATTTCTCTAAGAGCAAATAGTCAATAGAAACGATATGATGTTTAACATCAGTACGACACATTGAGAATTCTATCGAGTATAACAGTTGGACGAAAAACTCTGTCTCAACTTTGAGGATAAAATGCCCCATTCATTTCCTTGCGCCTTATAATTATATTGCCATTATTATCACACCGAAATCTAAATTTCCCTCATTGCAAACTGTAGGCCTTCAGCTGCCGATTCTGGTCTAGATAATTTGGACGTAAAACTCCATTCATTTCCTGTTTGGGCCACTACAGTATTAAAGGGTCGATATGAAAGTATCGGGATCGTCTGCCCAGCTGTTAATAATCCCGCCAGTTATAACAGCATTGGATAATTTATCGGTTTTCTCACCGAGCCGCCATGTCCATTTTGCAATTCATTCTTGTTGCAAGTGGACATTGAATGAAAACATCGCGCGTTGAATCAATAACAAACGAGTCCCATTCATTGTTTCAAGTCGTATTAACTTTAGGTCAATTGATAACAAAAGAAATCTAGAGAGGGGCGTGGTCTGAGTTGAGTCAAGTCACGTGTTGATGACGTAGTAAATATTGCAGCAGTCAGAATTGAATGATTGACATATTAACAGACGACCAGAGGTTACTGTACAACTTTTATACCACTCAGTCTTTTTATTTCACTTGTCAGTTAATATTTTACTTTATTACTTCTCAAAAATTACAACCCCAACTTCCCAATAAATAAATTTATAACACATCATAATTTTTATTTCGAGTTTTCAAGTCAAAATATAAAAAAAATGTCGTGTATATCCAGATATTTGCATAATAGAATGTATGAGTGGCATTATATCTGTAGAAATTACTACGCCAACAAATTTACACAATGTTGTACAATTTGTTACATTATATTATATATGACGTAATTACTGGGCAATATCGATAATAACGCCCTGTAGTTGTATACAACATCAAACATCACCGCTAGAAAAATATTAAGAGGAAAATCTCGCGGTCTCTTTGATTCCTCCGCCAAGGAGTGAAGCGTGTATCATTTCCTGCCGAATAGAAAATGTAGCATTACTGTGAATTTGAGAGTGAATTTTGGAAATTTAGAACAATATCGAAGACACAGAAAGCGAAGATGAGTTGTCAAAGATGACAGACGAAGCCATTCCAAAGTAAGTAGGGAAAAATCGGACGGGAAATGGTCGGAATTGGACGAGAAATGGTCCTCGAAAAACGTCAATGTGAGCGAAATTCACATTTCAAACATGGTGGCTGTACCAAAATGGAAATTTGAACGGCTTTGTAAAGTTTGGATTAAGATATTTGGTGGATTTTTGTGGTATATTTGTTAAGTAGGATGTTGTTTTACCATTTAGAAAAAGTTTTGGGGTGAAAAAGGTGAAAATTAACGGTAAATTGACGGTGACCCAGTAAAGGATCGGCAGGTTTTTCGCTCGTCATACACCGAGTTTTAGGTTCATTCATAAATTCCAGTGAATGGCAAGAAAAGAACAGGCTTGGTACGTAGTGAATTCATTCTCAGCTCTAAATGGATTCAACACGATTCCTGGCTTTTTAATTAATTTTCTTAATTAATCACTTGATTGAAGATAGCTTAAACACATTCTATTCTTTATATTTTTTTCATATTTTGACTGAAATTACATTTTGAGGTTTTTGGCCTTTAATTTTTTTTCGACATAGATAAGTTAGGCCTACAAATATCTTGTCTGTATATTAGGCTAGGCCTAGTTAGTGAATATTTATTAATTGAAAATCCTCATTTTTCTGAAACAAATTATATTTTTAACTGGATCCAGGGTTAATTGGGGTTTATTTTTTGAAGTTTGTTCTCTCCGCGTATTCTTATTTAAAGGGATGGGTAAGTTTTATAAGAGAAACTTTCTTATAGAAGCACTGGCCTAGGTCACAAGTAGGGACTGTGAATTTCAGCATTGGATTACATCAATTTGATAAAAAATTACCAACTTGTGGAGAGATTAACAAAATGAAAAAATAATTCAGAAATGCAAAGCGATTGTTATGGGTGAAAGCAATTTGTATGAATCGATCTCTATTAAGGAAGTCTTATGATTTTTTTCAGTTATAATTTTTTTGGAGATTTTATCATATGAAATAGAGTTCAAATCATTTAAAGGGATTGTAAAGAGGGTTTCTAAATTTTATATGTGCATCAGGGACACTGATAGCATCAATTTTCACCATTCCAATTTTTAGTCATATATCCGAGGTTTCTGCAATTCCACTAGAACTAAGTGTTTGATGATGTCGCAAATCGCAAAATTTGCTTGTATCACATAAAAGGCCCTTTGCGATTAGTGACATCATCAAACACTTATTTTGTGTGGAATTGGAGGAACTTCATTGAAAATTGGAATGGTGCAGATTGATGCTATCAGTGTCACCGATACACATAAAATATTGAGAAAACCTCTTAACAATTCCCTTAAGCATTTTAAGCCTGACGCACACCTTTTGACAGAATGCAGTAGGATAATTAGACAGGGGCTAAATTATCTAGATGTATAGTTAGCACACACTTGAGAACTATTTATCATGACTATGGACATCCCTTAGCGAACCTGAAATCAATGCATCCACATTTAAGTCTAAATTGAATTTTCGCAAATTCTTGTACCGCTGTTGACAGTAGGCTTACCTTTAGAATTCAGTTTGATGGGTAAATAATCTTCCATTTCAAATTGTGATTAATAGAAATATAGACAAGTGTCCCCTTGTTTCCAATCTTCCATGACACATCTTTGAACCTCGTGACAACTAGTACCCTGGTGCCAGGCCTAGTCAGGGTATGCTTACTCTTCCAGATATGCTCTAGTCAATTAGCTAATATAAGAAAGTTAACCTCGATTTCTAAAACTAGCTTTCCTGATGATGATTGTATATCTGAAAAACTAGTCTTCAGCATGAGATGAGCTGTAGTAAATAAGTTAATATTAGGAAAGTTAACCTTCATTTCTAAAACTATCCTGATGATGATTGTGTATCTGAAACATGTCTGCATAGCTAACATAATTCCTATATTAGAAAATTAACCTCTATTTCTGAAACTAGCTGTCCTGATGAGGATTGTATATCTGAAACATTTGTTGGCAGCATGAGATAAGGTATATACCAGTATTTAAAAGTTAACCTCTATTTTTAAAGCCAACTGTCCTGATTAGGATTGTTTATCAGAAACATGTTTTGTCAGCATGAGATAAACTATATGCTGGTATTGGAACATTTACCACTATTTCTACAAATAACTGTCCTGATGAGGATTGTGTATCTGAAACATGTAAGCACCAGATATGCTCTAATCAGTTAGCTTATATAAGAAAGTTCACCTCTATTTCTAAAACTGGCTTTCCTGATGAGGATTGTATATCACAAATATGGCAGTATGAAATGAGCTTTAGTCAATTAGCTAACGTTTAGTTCTATATTAGAAAGTTAACCTCCATTTCTAAAACTAGCTGTCCTGATGGGGATTGTATATCAGAAATATGGCAGTATGAAATGAGCTGTAGTCAATATATAATATGAATCTTTATAGTGAGGTAGAATCAGCTGTTTAAATATATTTTAGTATAATCATATGATGCAATCGAGAAAGTTTCACTGCCACCAGGTGATTCATACTGTAGCCTGGATAATAATTAATTAACGTATTTAGTTTTAAAGGCTTAAGATGGTATAGATATTTACTGTATCAGGGTTCAAGATTGAAAGCTTTCAAATTATGATTATCAATTGGTACACAATGCTAGTGCTTGTACGGTATATCAGTGAAATCGGTGAAATTTATAAGAAAATGGACGCTAACCACTTCTATCAACTATAGTACCAAATATCACAGTTATAAAGTTATAAATTAATATATATAGAAACTATTTATAAGACAGTGGACGTTAACCACTTCTATCAACTATATTACCAAATATCACAGTTATAAAGTTATGAATTAATATATATAGAAACTATTTATAAGACAGTGGACACTAACCACTTCTATCAACTATATTACCAAATATCACAGTTATAAAGTTATAAATTAATATATATAGAAACTATTTATAAGACAGTGGACACTAACCACTTCTATCAACTATAGTACCAAATATCACAGTTATAAAGTTATAAATTAATATATATAGGAACTATTTATAAGATAGTGGACGTTAACCACTTCTATCAACTATATTACCAAATATCACAGTTATAAAGCTATAAATTAATATATATGGAAACTATTTATAAGACAGTGGACACTAACCACTTCTATCAACTATAGTACCAAATATCACAGTTATAAAGTTATAAATTAATATATATAGGAACTATTTATAAGATAGTGGACGTTAACCACTTCTATCAACTATATTACCAAATATCACAGTTATAAAGTTATAAATTAATATATATAGAAACTATTTATAAGACAGTGGACACTAACCACTTCTATCAACTATATTACCAAATATCACAGTTATAAAGTTATGAATTAATATATATAGAAATTTTTTATAAGACAGTGGACGTTAACCACTTCTATCAGCTATATTACCAAATATCACAGTTATAAAGTTATAAATTAATCTATATAGAAACTATTTATAAGACAGTGGACGTTAACCACTTCTATCAACTATATTACCAAATATCACAGTTATAAAGTTATAAATTAATATATATAGAAACTATTTATAAGACAGTGGACGTTAACCACTTCTATCAACTATATTACCAAATATCACAGTTATAAAGTTATAAATTAATATATATAGAAACTATTTATAAGACAGTGGACGTTAACCACTTCTATCAACTATATTACCAAATATCACAGTTATAAAGTTATAAATTAATATATATAGAAACTATTTATAAGACAGTGGACACTAACCACTTCTATCAACTATATTACCAAATATCACAGTTATAAAGTTATGAATTAATATATATAGAAATTTTTTATAAGACAGTGGACGTTAACCACTTCTATCAACTATATTACCAAATATCACAGTTATAAAGTTATAAATTAATATATATAGAAACTATTTATAAGACAGTGGACACTAACCACTTCTATCAACTATATTACCAAATATCACAGTTATAAAGTTATAAATTAATATATATAGAAACTATTTGTAAGACAGTGGACGTTAACCACTTCTATCAACTATATTACCAAATATCACAGTTATAAAGTTATAAATTAATATATATAGAAACTTTTTATAAGACAGTAGACACTAACCACTTCTATCAACTATATTACCAAATATCACAGTTATAAAGTTATAAATTAATATATATAGAAACTATTTATAAGACAATGGATGCTAACCACTTCTATCAACTATATTATCAAATATCAAAGTTGCGATATCGTATCAGGACCCTTAGATTGCGATGGGTATCATAATGTGGCATGATTGGGGATACCCAACAGTACAATCAATATATCCTTTTAAATACGACAGTGGTTAATACAGCCGGCTATATTTATTAGTTATCTACTAAACCTCTGAAACCAGCCCTGAATCTCAAGTTCTTTAAGGACTATCCTATAAACAAGGTACCATCAGAATACAGTATTATAGTATTGACTAATTTATTAGTCTAATCTACCAATAACTCAAGATTATCTCCCAGTTTTAATTTTGAAGCCAGCCCTGAAACTCAACTTCTTTAGGGACTATCCTATAAACATGGACTGACGTCAGAATGCTTGGTACCAATACAGTACTATAGACTGAAGTTGTTAGTATCGTAATCAACTGTTACTGTAGAATAGTCCGTCACTAGTGATTTGATACTATTTATAAATACAGAATCCTGATGTCATTTGTATCCAGGGAATTCCCCTGACTGTCATATTTAAAAAAATGGACATGTAACCTGGGTATTCCGTTGATAGTGATATTATAAAAAGATGGATAAGTAACTGTGTAATTCCATTCATTGTCATATTTTAGAAAAATGGCCCCCTGCAGAAAAGATGGTGGCCTGGCTTTTTATTTTGGTATATTTTAGTTAGATTAATTATAAAGATATATTTGAATTGTATTTTCAGTGGAGGTGATTACCTGGTGGAGGTCCAGGCTCAAGTTATGATCCGAGATGATTCCACAGGAGGCTGGGTACCGATGGAGGGGGGTGGGGTCAGTCGTGTTGGATTAAAACATTTACGAGTGAATAGTGGTGGTGGTGGGGAACCGAGGAATGATTATTATATTATTGGAAAACGCCTTACAGATAGTGTCGTAAGTTAACATTTTTTTTCAAATTTTTTATCCCACAGAATTTCAGCTTGAACAGTTTTAAATTGGTCAGAAATTTTTATTTTCTTTTTGACCCTACAGTCTTCTTGATCACGTACTGGTTGGTCAAATTGTACAGAATATTTTTAACTGAATGGGAAACGATACTTGTTGTGTTTGGCCTAAAATTGACTTTTGTTGTTTTTGCTGATTATCTTCATGTGGAAAGGAATATCATCTTCGAAACTATACTAATACTGGTAGTCTTAGATGGATGTTTGTTGGTGAATCAAATTGTACAGAATATTTTTATTTGAAATGGCAGTAAAAACAAAAGAGAATTGTGACAAAAGTAGATTTGATCCTCAAATTTCTAATTTTACAAATAATTTTATCAATTTAACAAATTTATACTATGGACATATAAATATAATCTATATATTGTTTTAAATTTTGGAAGAATCAAATCCTCCCTTTCCTCGAATCTAGTTCATTTCATTTTATTTGTCATAAAGTAGGAAAGTAGAACATAAAAATGTAGGTGATAAGAATAGTTTTAATATATGATATTATTATGGTACCAGGTGATTGATAAATACTCAATAATAATAATAACTCTATAGGTTTATATGTGACATTATATCAATAACCAATCAGAATTAGGGCACCTGTTATATCCCAAGTTTTATGAATGAGGAAAATTCTAATATTTTATCAATGAATTATCTAGGCTGTATTTTAAAACTGTTTTAATAACTTGGGATAAGATCTGTTAATATTTCACATGAATCTTAACTGTTGTTAAGGACTTCAATAAAATGATTTTGAAAATTTTGTAACAAGGGATGTTGACTAAAAATCTTGGTAAATGAAATTTGAAGGGATTGTAAAGAGGTTTTCTAAATTTTGTTTGTTTGTGTATTGGGGACTTTGATAGTATCAATTTACACCATTCCAATTTTCTATCAGATATCTGTGATTCCTGCAATTCCATTAAAAATAAGCGTTTTATGGCGTTACCTATCGCAAAGTCCTTATAGAATAAAGAATATTTTGCGATTAGTGACGCCATCAAACGCTAAATTTTAGTGGAATGCAGGAACCATACAGACCTCTGATTTGATGCTATCAGTGTCCCCAATGAAAAATTAAGAAAACCTCTTTACAGTCCCTTTAAGATGTATCCTTGATTTTATCTCAAAATAATGATCTTGCCTAAAGTAGGAAGGTTGTTACTAAGTTAACCCAAAGATTAATCAACAAGGAAACTTGACAGTTATTTCCAAATAATAAAGGATATGAAAATTTACCAACATTAATTTCTCCCACTCAGCAATGAGCTAAAATCACTCGTTTTTAATTTTGCATGGACAAAAGTATTAAAACTTCTTCTTGATGTGTCTCTTGACCAATTCCTCAAGGTTTGACTAACTTAAAATTAAAGAATTGAGAATCAAATGTAAGTTTATTCATTCTTATTAACATGTTTTTCATTCATTAAGTAAATTAGATAATTTAGATTTAAATATAGATTAAGAAAATTCATTCATGAAGATTTGGACTTAATCTATGAAATTTTCATTAATTTGATTTTAGCTGATTATAGCTAATCTTTACATCATCAGTTAATGGATTTATCAAATTTTTTATTTATTTAAATATTAAGTTAAAAGGGACTAGCGCCATTTTTTTGACTAATCATATCTTAGTCTCAGAAACAGGAATTTTATTAGCTAAGCCAATCAGTGATAGTGTTCACATAGCATAGGTCCCTGAAAACACCTGCATTGTGTCAATTAGGATCTTCAAAATATTTCCTACTGATTATAAATTGAGGAAGTGGGTTAGATATTTCCATACAGCTTCTAGCCATTACCTGGTTAACTGGATGGTAGAGTCTATATTGAAACAGGCCTATTGGTTATAGTTGTACTAAACAGACTTGATGTCTAAGACTACACTAATCAATGAATGAGTAGAACAGTAGCTTGGTTGTCCAGTTGTGACCTTGACCTTCCTACTCCCACGCAGCAGTATGTAATACCAACTGGACGGAGGATTAAGCTATCGTGGAAAGTCGGTAGACTGGGCCAATATATTGATTAGTTGAAGATAGAAAGTTAGGCCAACACTTTACTCTAGACTAGGATAGCAATATTGGTATGTTTCATTGACATAGCTAGAACGGATGTGTTCTATACATTGGTGCTAACCAAACTTGAATATGTTAGAGAAAGAGCGGGCTTCCTCCTTTCAGTGATGCTGGTCAGATGGACTGAAACAAAATAAATCGTACCCGTCATTTGGATGGGACAATAACCCATAAAATAATTGTTCTATACATTGGTCCTTATCCATGCCAACTTGAGAAATTAGAGTGATTGTAAAGAGGTTTTCTGAATTTTTTATGTGTATCAGGATAGTGATAGTGCTCATCTATTTGCACCATTTCAATTTTCATTCTGACGTCTGTGGTTCTTGCAATTCAACTAAAACTAACACAAAGCTATCAGTGTCTTAGATACACATAAAAAATGTAGAAAACCTCTTTACAACCCCTTTAATAAAGAGTGTTTTCAGCGAGATTCTCCCTCTCTGGTACTGGTGCACAGTGGGCTGACAAGTCAAGTGGATTAGACAAAAACCCAATACCCTGAGTGGTACCAGTTGTGCAGACTGAAACAAATGCCTTTATCCAGGCCTCTGATATACATCTTTAGATGTCTACAAGGCCCTGTTTTATCAGAATTTTTTTTACCCTATCTCTTCGAATCGTTTTCGCCAAACTAAATAGATTTGGAAAGATGGATAATTTTGTAGTTCAGTCATACCATTATAATCCTCTATACAATTTATGTCACGTCTTAAGTTCCATCAAATTTTTTGACAGTCATTTATCAGAATAGAGTAGGCGTTTTTCCTTAATGCATCCTCAAGGGCATGCTTTCCCTGACCCAATGAGAAGAAGAACATCTGGACCACAGTTCATGACAAATATTCCCTCCCCTCACAATGACAATGACCCTATGAAAATTTATCATTATCCATTCTTACCAGTGGCCTGTCTGTCGATAGTATACCCTCCAGACAACAGACTTTATGTGTAGTGAACAGAAAAAAATGCCTATGCATAAACCCTCTGCTGCCAGATTCAAGAAGCATGACTCTGTTCAGCCCCACATCCCCTCCCTTCCAACCTTCACAAACATTACCCTATGAGTCTGTTTCTCAAGTATTTATTATCAAATAGCCTGTCTGTGATACATCCTCACAACTCGCACCCCTCAAATCCTCTCTCAACATCTACCTCCCCTCACCTCCCTTATACCATCCTACCCCTTTCAGCCCCTACCCCTACAACCTACCCCCTCAACCTCCCCTACCCCCACCTCTACCTGCACAAAACATTACCCCTAGGAATCTGTATCTTCATTATTTATTATCAAATAACCTGTCTGTGTTATATCCCACATCAACAAAGGTCATAGAAGGTCAAAGTATATGAATGAATGAAGGTAGATATGAAATGAGGTTAAATATTTAAACCAAAAGGATGTATTATTGCCAATCCCTGGAAATTTCCTCAAAATTTTTAAAACAGGAATTTTTACCAACATTTTTCGAAAGTTTCGCTTTAAGCTTTATTATACTCAATTTATTTTCTAGAACTATAGATTTATACATCCTGTGCCTGTGCTTTCGTAACATTGTTAATTTTAGACTTCAGATTAAAAGGAAGCATTATCACTGTCAATGCCTGTAAGGAAAATTTTCACGAAGTCTTTAGTCAGCGTGGAGAGGAAAGATGTCTCTATTCCAGACACCAGTTCCTCTAAGTCTACAATGTCGAATTATTGACATAAGTTTTTGCAAGTTAACATCAGAGATCAAAGTTCAGAGATCAGAGTTCAACACATTTCTTTCAGACCTTTACCTGGATCTCTTTAGCATATGAGCCTTTCATTCCAATTTGTTTGGTTATTTTTTGAAAAAGTTTCTTTTCATTACTATACCTATAAAAAAACAGATAGGTAGCAAACCCGCTTTATCTTCTTCTTTTGCGCCCCCCTCCCCCTTCATACCCCCCAACCCCCACTCAATTTTGCCCATAGTGCATATCTCCCCTTCCTCAGATCAGCCATGCCCCTTTTGCTTTCTGTCTCTGGAATGCCTGGATGTGCTTATAGTGCCCCCCACTCTTTAGATCTGCCTGAGGTATAAGACAAGGTTATCTACTGTAGCCCTGTCTATTGTTGTGTATAATAAATGATAAAGATTATGTTGATAAGATAATTCAGGCTTGTCATTCACCTTTTTATCTGTATAACAGTTTCTATCTTATCATAGACCAAGTTTTTCAGGGGATGTTTTTTGTCTCATCATCTATTCTTATCTACTGCGTTGATGTCAATGAACTGTATACTTCACAACCTATATGCTATAGATTCCTGCAATTCCACTGTAACAAAGTGTTTTATGAGGTCACAGTGATGTCATCAAACACTTAGTTTTAATGAAGTTACAGGAACAACAGACGTCTGATTGAAACTTTAAATGGTTTATATTGATGCTGTCAGTATCCCTGATACACATAAAAAAATTTAGTAAACCTCTTTACAATCCCTTTAAGTAAGTAAAGTAATGCAATAGAACATTATTTCATTTGACAAATTGACAGCTGTGTTAGAAAAATTTTCCTTATTTCACAATGCAATTAGATCAAGGCTAAAGCCATACAGAGGCAAAAGTCTCACTTTTGAACAACCACCAAACTTAAGAAGTGTCCTTTTTTTTCAATTTTCTTCTTAAATCCACAAGACACTTTTACCTCAAATTGACAAGGATTTTGGTAAGGCCTTGGAGTTTTCTTATTTCACTTTTAACCCCCTAACACCGGCCCAGGCAGGAGCAGATTTAGGATTAAAATCTAGGATGTAAATGGAATGATGAAAAACAGATTGAGAAAGAAACATCAGATGGTGGTATGGTTATCTCTCGTTACT